GGGTGCTTAGAAACCAAATGCAGTACAAACTCAAACTCAGTGTCACAATCAAATTGATGTGATGTGACCAAGAATGTAAAGAGAAGAAATGTTTCAAATGCTTATATACCAATGCTAGCTAACAAGAAAGAGTTGGCAATTCTTATTGATCATGAGAAATTTTATAACGGGCATTACTGAAAACCTGTGGGAATATTCACATGATAGGTTATAACTAGCAATTTTAAAATTCCAATTTAGGAAGGATATAGTAAGTAAAAGATGTATGTATGCAGTAGGGAAGGGTGTCATACTCTACATTAAATACACTATTACCTGTTATAGAGTTATTAATCATTCAGAAGCACAGAATCTTGAATGCATATGGATCAATGTGCTAACTGGGAAAGCCCAGCAATAGGTGCTGGTGGAGTTCTGTTCCAGACCATCAAATTAAACCAAAGAACAGGCTGAGTTACTCATTAAGCACTGTCTGTAATGTGTGGAAAGAAAAATTGTGGTGTTATGGGAGATTTCAGTTTGGGAGTTCTTTGCTGGAGATCTCATGCAGCCAGCAATATAACATAATTAGAGTTTCTAAAAATTACATATGATGCTTTTCTAAGACAAAGGTATTGCACCCAACACAAGGGAGCTCTATTTTGGATAAATCACCCCCCTGAGCGACATAAGTTACGCCAACATACGTGCCGGTATGAACAACCCTATGTCTGTGGGAGAGCTTCTCCCGCCGACATAGCTTCTGCTGTTCACAGGTGCTGCAGTAGTTAAGCTGACAGGAAAGCACTCTTCCATCAACTTTGAGCAGTTACATTTCTCTCTAATGTAGCTGTGCCCTTAGAAACTAATATGAAAACATCTATTTTAACATAACTTATTTCCCTCAGACACTTTATGTAAGAAAAAGAAATCCAAGTTGCAGCAGTCTTCTGTGTCACTTTTTATGCCTTTGAATGCTCTGTCCCTCTCTCCCTTTTGTTTTTCATTGTCCTACCCACACTATTCTCTCTTAGCAAATTGCCCTGTGTTTCATTTAATTTAGGCCAAAACAAGCTTCCCGTGGTGCAGCTGTTATATGATATCAACTAACACAGTTGTCAACAGATTACTGGACCTCAATTTGGCAATCTCCCTGTATGATTATATTTATGCACTGATCCTACAAGAGATTCTGTAACGTTAGTTTGTTTTACATTATATTTTATACTTTAATTAAAGCACAGATATTTGCCGCCTTTTGCTTTTATGTATGACTCTCGGGTTTCCACAGATGCAAATATTTTGATTCCTTTACAGCTGAAATGTAGCTGTGATTTGGCAAATGAATCTGCTGAGGACATGTGCATTATAACAATTTTTATTTTCTAGACTAGAGGAAATTTATTTTTTAAGTACTGAGATTTTGCTGAGCTCTGTACAAGTCTTGAAATATAGATTGCCTCTGCTCCATACTAAACCAGACATATGCACAGTTGTTAGGTTCCATTTTGATTTATTAATAAAACTTTAAATAATCAGGCTCAATTGGAATTTATTAATCAAAAATGTAGTCAAGATTAATACAGCACAATACAGAATACAGAAAGGCTATCAATACCAAACCAGTCTGAAGACTGGAGAAATGACTTTGCAGCTTGATTCAGTCCTAACTCCCAGAAACTACCCTCTGTACATGTTGTACTTGGGACAAAGAAGAATTGCTTTCCATAACTGATCTACATATGGAATTCCCCTTATGGTATCTCATCTTACCTAATCAATAAGCTAAAAGTATCTATGACTAAGTCCTTATTGTAGAAAATGCCTGTGGCATAGGTAATGATTTAAAAACATTTCTCAGTGTGCGATCATCTCATTGATCACTGAAGACATTTGCAATAATAAATATCCCTCCTCAATCATTAGTGGTCCCTTCCTGGATACATTCTCCATGAGTCAGTAGGGTCAGGGTAAAAATATTATACACATTCCATCATTTGGTCACACACTAAAATTCAACCTAAGTACAGAGTCCCTTGAATCATAGATACAAAGCACTAGAATTATAGTTACAAAACACTTTGTGCATGAACCAAAGGATCATGGGGGTTTTATATACAAAGAGTTATGGGAACACAAAGAATCATAGGGAGTCTAGTCCATTTGTTAATACAGTAGAGGCACAGGAAAGCCCAGAATTGGGAAGGGTAAGGCTGTTTCTCTCACTGTTTGTTTGGGTATGGCTACACTTAAAACACTACACTGGCATAGTTGCACCACTGTAGCTCTTCTGATGGGAGGGGTTCTCATCAGTGTAAGTAATCCACCTTCCAAGGAGGCAGTAGCTAGCTTGATGGAAGAATTCTTCCAACCTAGCGCTGTCTACACCAGGGGGGTAGGTTGACTTAATTATGCCACTCAGCGGTGTGGATTTTTCACACCCCTGAGCAACATAGGTAAACTTTCATTTTCTAGTGTAGACCAGTCCACAGTAACTGAAGCTGTATTTTTCCCCCACTCTTCATGGTCCATTCCAGGAGTGCCCAATCAGGTCTCTGATCTCCTAACATCTCCTGTCTCTGGGGATGAATCTTACCAGGGGTTTTTGAGGCTGCAGAGCACCCTGCCTTATATGCCGATCCCTAGCAAGCCAATCTCCCTAACGGACAGCTCCTGTGCATTCCTCTCCCTCTCTCTCTCCCGCGAGGCCTATGAACAGTGTATTGCCAACAGATGAAGTTACTACACCTTTATTTTTCTAAGCAAGTATATTTATTTTTAAGGTAAAGTATTACAAAGAAAACATCATAAAAACAATCAACAGATTTAAACTCACATTAAACATACTAAGAGTCACCCATCAGTCTTATGAGGCCCTTGTAGACTAAAATCTTTCCAACCATTCCACAAGCGGGGAAGGCTTCCTTGGGATGGAAGGTTCCGTCTGTTCACTGGATCAAATAGAAGACCCTGAGTCAGTTTAAACCCAGTTTTTTAATATCAAAAGCCCTTTCTTTGTTAGTTTCTGGAAAACCCAGTTTGAACCAGGATATGTAAGCCTCCCCAGAAGGTGATACCTTAATCACCCCCACCTTATTTTTGGTTTCATAGATACTAAGGTCAGAAGGGACCATTATGATCATCTAGTCTGACCTCCTGCACAATGCAGGCCACAGAATCTCACCCACCCACTCCTGCGAAAAACCTCTCACCTATGTCTGACCTATTGAAGTCCTCAAATCGTGGTTTAAAGACTTCAAGGAGGAGAGAATCCTCCAGCAAGTGACCCATGCCCCATGCTACAGAGGAAGGCAAAAAACCTCCAGGGCCTCTTCCAATCTGCCCTGGAGGAAAATTCCTTCCCGACCCCAAATATGGCGATCAGCTAAACCCTGAGCATATGGGCAAGATTCACCAGCCAGATACCCAGAAAAGAATTTTCTATAGTAACTCAGATCCCACCCTATCTAACATCCCATCACAGGCCATTGGGTCTATTTACCATGAATATTTAAAGATCAAATTACCAAAAACATGTTATCCCATCATACCATCTCCTCCATAAACTTATCGAGTTTAATCTTAAAGCCAGATAGGTCTTTTGCCCCCACTGCTTCCCTTGGAAGGCTATTCCAAAACTTCACTCCTCTGATGGTTAGAAACCTTCATCTAATTTCAAGTCTAAACTTCCCAATGACCAGTTTATATCCATTTGTTCTTGTGTCCACATTGGTACTGAGCTTAAATAATTCCTCTCCGTCTCTGGTATTTATCCCTGTGATATATTTATAGAGAGTAATCATGTCTCCCCTCAACCTTTTTTTAGTTAGGCTAAATAAGCCAAGCTCCTTGAGTCTCCTCAAGGAGAAGCTATGATAACCCTCCCTTCTTGAAGTTGGTTACAGTCCTGGGCCCACAGTGATACATAAACTTAATACATTATGGTCCCCAAAGATATTGCATGGGGTTGCAATGTCTGTCTAAAAATTTATCCTTTTTTAATATAATCGATTGGTTTCTTTGGGTTTTTAAAGCAGAGGCAAATTATATATGTAAAGTGTTCTGTAAAATCAACAATATAAACAGTTAAATTGAGCCTGTGCTATCTATAAATTAATTGTTTTTTTAAGCTTGGCGAACAGTGATAGTCAAGTCCACTTAGATGGCCCCTTTCACATGTGGGTATAGGTGTACATAGAGATGGCTTCAAATCAGGCCAGCCCATTCAGCTGAAAGATGTTTGTGCTAGATGGTTGAAGACTGTTTTATTGCTGCCAGCATGCACCTCTCCCTTCTAGTAATTTTGTCTTTGCTGCTCTGGGTATGCTGAGCACTAGAAGCAACAGAGTGTGGTTGAGTTTAAAAGATAAGTATGGGTGGTTTGGAGATCTGGAGTTTGCTCACTTTTACTCTTGTTATTCATGGAAAAAAGTTGAAACATAAGATAGGAGAGAGAATACTTATTTTTATGTAGCACCTATTGCTATGGCATCTTTGATCAATTAAAATGATGAAATTTAATGAAGTGTAGAGCCTGTCTTGATATTTAATGGAAAGCCAGATCACAATAGGGATTGCCTTCTAACTTATTCTAAAGACTGTTGCAGTTTCCAGGTTTTTATGATTGGCTCCAGCAACCTTCTGTCCCAGTCAATGATCCAGAATATGTGCATAAACATGCACTAGAGAGAGATAAATGCACACAGATTGAGGGATGGGTAGGTATATTTTGTTTTTAAAGTTTTGTGCCTACTGAAGCTGGATGACATTATTGTGCAGGCAATGGCAGGGAGAGGCCAGAGGGGATTTAGTTGCAGGGCACAGCCCTAATTGATATGAGAGGCCAGTTACTATACCTAATAAGTAACTGAGTTTGGAAAGGGGAGAGAGAACTTGATTTAGGGGATGGGTGAGTGATTTGTGGGAGACTGGGAACTTTGTTAAGCAACATAGGAGTTGATCGGGAAGCATACAAGAGGTAGTCTAATGGTTAGGTGAAATTCCAAAGCCCCCCACTTCCCTGGGCAGTGCCCGCTGCCCTAATGGCTTCTCAGAATTGTTCCAGGAATATTTTTTTGAAATGTTGGTGTGCATGCACTGCAGTTTGGACTCTGTAACTTCCCTGAGCCTGTAAAGAGCATGGGAGTGCTACTTTTATTTTTCCCATGCTGTCAGACCCATTCCTTTCTTTTTGATCAGCCTCATTGTTACAAGCACAAGGGCAGAGAAGGGAGTACAGAACCAAAGAGAAGAGCACCTGTTCCACTAACTTTACAGAGACACTCCCCAGTTGTGTGGCAGAGCTGATGTTTCAGAGCAGAAAGAAAAGTGTGTGAGAATGTGGCTCTCTGGCAAGATGTCCAGAATTCCCAGGTTTCATTGGGTTTGACAGCAGCACCATGACAATATTACTGTAGTTCCTGGGAGCCTTCGTCAGGGACCAGGACCACATTGTGTTAGCTGCTGTACAAATACAAAACAAAAGTCAGTCCAATAATCTCTCGTTTCTGTTTCTGGCCTAGCTGGATTACTGTAGGTGCAGAGACATCATGTGTAAAAGACAAAAAAATGTCAATCAAACCATTTTGAAAGGTCAGTGTTCAGTTTCCTGCATGGGTGAAGTTTTGTGCTGACTCTTAATTATTTGAACTAGCTTATCCATCCCTATTAATTAAGTGTCCTTAGGTTTGTCTTCAGCACAATGAAATAAATAATAGATACATGTAAAAGAAAATGAAAATGCCGCAGAGCCATGTTCATCTGACTGGAATAGGCAGCCTGGAATTTATTTGGTTAAATGGGAGTTTCAATAAGAGATTTTTCACAGTGTGTTTACAGTATTTCCCACAATGTGCATTCAGCCTATTGAATTCACTGCCTCAAGCAGAGATTTAAATAATTTATTTGGATTTTAAATGAATGGCTAATTTTATGTCCAGAACTGACATTGGTAGTTGTACATACTAAGATAGATTTTATTACCTCTCATGCTTCAGGACGAAAGCTGGTCAGCAATAGGGAACGGGTTGCTATTTTTTTCTCTTCTATTAATTGTGCCATCCTTACCTCGAGTAGCACTTTACTCTACAAAATGAGGGTAGCAGAATTGGGCCCTCTTTTAGTCACTTCTGTGGCTTCTTTCATCTGGGGATCTGCTTGTTCTTTGCAAACAAATTAATGAAGCCTCATTACACCCCTGTAAATTAGAAAAGGATTATATAGTGATCTAAGGTTTTGTTGTGAATTTTAGCGCTCAGGAACTGTGCTGGATTTTTGAGCCCTGGAGAATGAAATCCACGGAACATTTACAGCATAGGTAACAACCCAAAGTAACTGTTTCCCCACTCTGCCTTTGCAATGAACCTCAACCCTTTTGTATAAGAAGTTTGTTTGTTCTCTATCCTATTCAATTCTGTGTGTCTTTGCAGAGTCTAACAGGCAATGCAAGTGTGGTGGTGGCTTCTGTGATATGGACACTGTTCCAATAGGGCCTAGACCACGTGTTGGCAACCTATGGCAGGCGTGCCAAAGACAGCACGCGAGCCAATTTTTAGTGGCACACTGCTGCCTGCCAGGTCCCAGACGCTGGCCCCGCTCAGCCGGCTGCCGAACCCAGGCCTGCAGCAGGCTGAGTGGGGCCCGTGGCCGGGGCCCGTGGCCGGGACCCTGGCAGGCAGCAGCATGCCATTAAAAATCCTGCCCTCCCCGGCCTGCTCTTCTCCATCCCCCTGTGGGGGCAAGGTGAAGAAGCTTGGTCCTGCCGGCTGCTGCTGCAGGGCAGGCAAGCTCCCCCCTCCCCCGCCTCTTCCCCCAGCGTGCTGGGTTCCTGCTCCTCCCCCTCTCCCTCCTTGCCAACCATCAGCTGATGGCCCTTGCGCAGGAGGGGGAGAAGCGGAGCCGCAGCTCACTCGCTGCTCTGGAGAGGAGGCGGAGAAGAGGTGGGGACGGGGCCTTGGGGAACAGAGGTGGAATCAGGGCATATTCCCTCCAGCCCCCTGCCGTGAGCCACTAAGGGCAGGGGGCTGGGAGCATCCCCACAACCTTAGTCCACACCCCTAGCCCTCTGCCCTGACTCCTGCACTCCCCCCACACACACCCAGGCCTCTGCCCTGACTCCTCCACCCCCCAGGCCTCTGCCCTCATTCCTGCACCCCCTCACACACACCCAGCCCCTGCCCTGATCCCTTCACCCCCCACACACCCCAGCCCCCTGCCCTGATCCCTTCACCCCCCACACACCCCAGCCTCCTTTCCTGACCCCTGCACCCCCCACAACCCCAGCCCTGACTCCAGCACCCGCCTCACATACCCAGCCCCCCCCCACACCATGCCCTGACTCTTGCACCCCCCACATTCCCACCCCCACCCTGAGCACCAAATGGGAGCTCCTGCATCCTCCCCTCCCCCACATTCCTACCTGCACATCTCGCACCAAATGGGAGCTGCCCAGGTAAGCACTCCACACCCAAACCTCCTGCCCCAACCCTGAGCCCCCTCCCACATTCTAGTTCCTGGCCAGAATCTGCACCCCAACCCCAGCCTGCTCCTTCACCCCCAGCCCTGTGCTCAGTACACTCCCACCCTCAGCTCAGTGCAGAGAGAGAGGAAGAGAATGGGCTAGAACCAGGGAGAAGGTAGGTACCCACTCTATGTGGGCAGGGCCGGGATCCCAGACTAGCAGTGGGCTGAGCGGGGCCAGCAGCCGGGACCTTGGCTGGCAGGAGCCAGCAGACGGAACTCCAGACCGGCAGCGGGCTGAGCTGCTCAGCCCGCTGCCAATCTGGGGTCCTGGCCGCTGGCCCCGCTCAGCCCGCTGCCGGTCTGGGGTTCTGGCTGCCGGCCCCTTGCCAGCTGGGGTACCGGCCGCAGGCCCCACTCAGCCTGCTGCCAGCCTAGGTGAACAGAACCCCAGACTGGCAGTGGGCTGAGCGGGCCGGCAGCATAAGATCAGCATTTTAATTTAATTTTAAATGAAGCTTCTTAAACATTTTGAAAACCTTGTTTACTTTACATACAACAATAGTTTAGTTATATAATATATAGACTTATAGAGAGAGACCTTCTAAAAAACGTTAAAATGGCACGCGAAACCTTAAATTAAAGTGAATGAATGAAGACTCGGCACACCACTTCTGAAAGGTTGCCGACCCCTGGCCTAGACTGTGAATTCCAGATTGATTTCACATAGGTCACAGAACAACCAGCAGATGGTGTAGTAACTTACAGTCACCATGAATGCACTGTAGGCTGGATTTGAACTTTTGACCTAAAAGGCTCCATATCTCATTACCAGCCGCTCACATCCTCTTGTAAAGAGAAGAACGCTAATGTTTTGTAAGATGGATTTAAAAGGACTGTAGGAAGAGAGAGTCATATAGAGATCAAACGCTAAGCTGGTGAATAGTCAGAAATTCAGATTCTATGGATTCTGTTACTTTTGTTGTTTTAACCCCTAAAATAAATTAGATTTAGAGCATTTTCCATTCAGATTAGTGCAGTAGTTCTCAAACTTTTTGTATTGGTGACCCTTTTCAGATCAAATCTCTGAGTGCAACTCCCCTTATAAGTTAAAAACACTTTTTTTTATATATTTAACACTACTTAAATGCTAAATTTATAACCCTATTGTTTAAAATGAATTTACCTTTTCTCGCCACTTTTAAATTAAGACTAAAATATATTTTTTAATTATTGTTGTAAGCATAAAAGTTATTTTTTTTAAATAGATACTGTTTAATATTGGGGGCATGGGCACAAACACACTTTGTCAATATCACTTTTCACAGCAGACTTAGTGCCCCATTGCCAGCCTTACTTCTGCTCTGCTGCTGGTAGCAGTGGTGCCTTCAGAGCTGGGTGGCTGGGGCACTAGCAAGTCTGTTGTGAAAAGTGATATTTGTATGTTTGTTAATATCATTTTTCACAGCCTCCCAGATTCATGGAGCTCAATCTATTTGACTAACAAAGAGAAGGTTAAGGGGTGACTCGAAGTACCTACATGGAGAACAAATGGGCTCTTTAATCTAACGGACAAATGGATAACAGGTCAACTGCTGGAAGTTGAAGGAATTATTTTGCTGAAATTATATGCAAGGACATCTATGTGCAGGCCTGGCACGGTGGCCAAAAAGAATCCAATCTTGTCCTCATGAAGTGCATGCACACCAAGAGTGAAATCCACATGGGCAACGCTTCTCGAAGAACCACAGTTACTGTAAGGTAAGTGTAACGGAGTCACCAGGCGATGCTCTGGAACTACTCCATACAAAGCCAGTCAGGACTCTGGGGAAGCCTCCTCTCCCCAGGGCAAGAAGCTTACACAACTTTGACCTTCCTGGGGCTGACCTTGGAGCATTCAGGATCCCCGTCCACACCGTGCACTTCCCACAGCAAGTCCGCACAGGCGGGGCTCCTGGGGAAGCCAGTGGGTCCTGCATCCCAATTCTGCAGTCAGACGTGACTCTCAGCCAGCCAGTAAAACAGAAGGTTTATTAGACAACAGGAACACAGTCCATGCAGAGTTTGTAGGTACAAACAGGACCCCTCAGTCAGGTCCCTCTGGGGGGCAGGGAGCTTAGACCCCAGCCTTGGGGCTCCCTCCACTTCCCCAGACCGCTCCAAACTGAAACCCCCTCCAGCCATCTCACCCAGCCTCCCCCGGCTCCTCCTCCAGCCTTTGTCCAGTTTCCCAGGCAAAGATGTCACCTGGCCCTAACCGCCCTCCTGGCTCAGGTTACAGGTTCAGGTATCATCCCTCAAGTGCAGTCACCCCCTGCTATCCCATCCCCAATGCAGACAGTCCCAGTAAAACTCCCCTGCTACATCCCCAGATCAATCCTCCCCACTCCCTGCTCCGTCACAGTAAGTAACATTCTTTCTGTGGAAATTGGAAGGATGTTTGGTGAAAAATGGGCCTAGCAAATGACACTGGTAAGCCACCAAATGCTTTGTCAATAATCAATTGGTGTATCACAGCATTTCATCTATTACTAAAAAAAAATTTCCAGTGTCTACTTTGTATTTTTTATCTCTATTCTGAATTAAGCAAAAATCACTCCACCCTGATATCAAAGCTATGGACCTTGAGCATGGTCAGTAAGAATTTAGGATTTCTTAATTTAAAAAAAATAAGTGTCCTGGCAAAGAACCAAGTATATGTGGGAGTGGCTTGGCAGAATCACAGCTGAGAAGGAAAGGACCACAGTTAGCATGTACAATATTGGCAACTATTGAGCATATGCAGTAAGGTGTGACGGAGAAGTCGGTCAGTTATGCAGTTAGCTGGTCAGAACCTACTCATACTGGTAACAACACGTTTTAAAGGTCAGAGCTGTCGATAGAATTCTGAGGTAATGGTCAAGATTGAGCATCTGCAAGTGAGGTAACTGTTGCTAAGATTAGGAAGGATATAAAGAAAGAGCTACAATGTAGCATAAAAGGCCAGCTTCAGTTTCTGAGTCCAGAGGCTGCATTGGAGAAGGAGAGAGCCGTTAAGCCAGCAAGAGAAGCCACAGAAAAACTGCTACAGAGAGAGAGAAAAGAAAGCTGGAGCAGGGCAGAGCTGACTGACTAGGAGCTGAACAGCAGCAGCAGTGATTTGATTTTTAAAAGGAAGCAGCAACGGATTTATAGAATAAGCTTAATATTCTTTTAATTATATTTTAGTATAAGGGTAGGATAGTATATAGAGTTAGTATGTGTATGCTTGAAGCATGAGTGTGTGTTTTTTAATTGTATTTTATTTATGTAAAACTTAAAGTATAATTTAAGATCTGCTGTCAGCAATTTGTTGCAAACTGGCCACTTGCAATAAATTGCTTCACTTAGTATCATTTGAACTATATACTGTTGTAGTTTGAATGCTCTTTAACTTGCAATAAGGGATTGGTGTCTCAGGGATTTTGTCCTTTATTTAGGATTCTTAGATTATACTGTAGTAGGGATTATTAGACACTTAATTAAAAAGATACTTTGTTTTGGAAAGAATACTGACTGTGTCAACTACTTTATTGGAAGGTTATATCCGTGTCCTTTGTTTGTTTTCCTTAGCAACCCTGGGAACTTTTACCTCAGAAAGGAGATATTAGGGGGCAACAGGCAGGTTATTATAGCAGCATCCTAAAATCCATTTTTCAGGGTAGTATATTGTGACATCCTGGCACCCCCATATTCACTACTGACATATAAGTATGATATGTTTTGTACAAAGTATGCCTTGTGAGGTATCATTCTAAAAGTCTTGATCTGCTAGACATTAATATCTCATTTAGCTTGTATGTGCTATTATTGTATGTGAACTTATGAAGTATGGCTAAGTATGTGCTACTGAAACATGTTGTGAGATTGAGAACATCCACAAGCAGCCTTTCAGGTACAACAATAAAAAGGCCAAACAATGTTGATGGAAATACACACAAGCACAAGGATTACCCCGGGAACTGTGTACGATAGAAACCTCTCCGAGATAGCACTACATAATGGGAACTGTTTGACCCAGATCACAGCAAAAGAGCTTTCCAGCAAGTTAGAAGAAGATATAAAAGGGGGAAGTGACATCATTACTGGACCTCTCTCTACAGCACAAAACCTGAAAGTACCAGAGGAAAAAAGACTGAACTGGCAGGAAAGTGCTGGTCCCAGGCAGGATAGAAGGAAGCCTGCCTGTGTATACAAAAGCTAACCTGCTTGTAATATCTAACTGGCTGAAACACTGCTTGATTCAAATCCTAACTAGTATATTAGGCTTAGATTGCAGTTTTGTTTTATTTCTTATGGTAATCTACTTTGATCTGTTTGCTATCACTTAAAATCTATCTTTCTGTAGTTAATAAACCTACTTTATGTTTTCTCTTAACCAGTGTGGTTTTGAGTGAAGTGTTTGGAGAAAAATTTCAGCTCAGTTTACAAGGGCTTGTGTATCATCCTTTTCACATCAAGGGAGGGGCGGCTAGGTAATAAATTCATACTAATCAAGTTTTGACCAAGGCAGAACAGTACAGCTCCAATTTCCTAAGATGGGGGGCTGAGAGTATTTTGGATGGAGCCTTTCTATTGTTGCTTCATGCAGTGGCTGGTGGAGCATTCATGAACACAGCTGGGTGTGGCCCCTACCTGTGGATGTTGGTATGAGAGGAAGCTTGGAGGGCTTTTAGCTTCTCACACTGACATTGTGACAGGGATCCCAGATCGGTAAAACAAAGGGCTCAGCTGTACCCCAGTTTCAGGGGGCACTCCGGAGGGGACGTATCACACACATCCACTCGAAACAAAAGATGTAAGGACAACTACATTCTCATCTACAAAGCTCATTAAAACATTAATTGGCTAACAGCCTCCTCACAACATCCACGTGAGGTGGTGAGATGCAGAGGCCCATTGGTTCCAAAGGGTACACTAAAAGAAAAGGGGTACTTGTGGAACCTTAGAGACTAACAAATTTATTTGAGCATAAGCTTTTGTGAGCTACACCGTAGCTGCGTGTAGCTCACAAAAGCTTATGCTCAAATAAATTTGTTAGTCTCTAAGGTGCCACAAGTACTCCTTTTCTTTTTGCGGATACAGATTAACATGGCTGCTACTCTGAAAAGGGTACACTGCTCTTTACAAGCAACTCCTGCCTCAGACATGACAAACTCACTACACCTAATACACTAGTTTCATTTTATTTATCAATGAAGGATAGTATGGGAGCTTTCTATTGAAAGCTTATAACTTATCAATACTCATTATTGTAAGATGTGTGTGTTGGTAATATTTAAGGAATAATGTAACTATGTTGAAAACTATGCCTTAAAGTCTTAGAGTAAAAGTTAGGCACCAGGAATTCATACATCTAGGTAGGGGTTATCACCCTTTTTCTTTCTCCCCCTCCCCCCACCCCAACATGCTATAAAAACTCCATGGCCCAGTCGGGGAAGGGGACTCGGGGCTCTAGCCACTGGGTGGCTTGCGGGGGCCCTCGGGCATAGGCATAGTTAGATATCTATTTTCAGGGAGCAGGGCCCAGCGGGGCTTCGACGACCTCCACACAGTGGGGATTGGGGAGGGATCACCACCTCCACTCCCTGATTCACCTCAGGCCACCCGGACCACCCAGCCTGTTTGGGTTGAGGAACTGCCTGGAACTCTTTGCCAGAGGATGTTGTGAAGGCCAAGACTATAACAGGGTTCAAAAAAGAATGAGATAAATTCATGGAGGATAGGTCCACAAATGGCTACTATCCAGGATGGGCAGGGATGGTGTCCCTAGCCTCTGTTTGTCAGTAGCTGGGAATGGGTGACATAGGATGGATCACTTGATGATTACCTGTTCTGTTCATTCTGTGTGGGGCACCTGGCATTGGCCACTGTCAGAAGACAGGATAGTGGGCTAGATGGACCTTTGGTCTGACCCAGTATGGCTGTTCTTCGGGGGGTGGGGGGGCGGTGCAACCAAAAATTATAACTCAAAGTGGGGACTCAGCTCAAAAAGTTTGGTAACGGCTCAGGGTGCAGGCAGGCGGTAGCTAGGGGCTGTGCACAGGCAGGAGGGTAGCTCAGGGTGCATGGAGATGGTAACTAGGGGATATATGCAGGCAGGGGAGTAGCTCAGGGTGCAGGGAGAGGGGTAGCTGGGGCTGTGTGTGGTCAGGGGGTAGCTCAGGATGCAGCGAGAGAGTTAGCTAGAGGCTGTGTTCCACCTGGGGCACTGCTCCCCAAGGGCTCTGCCAGCCCCAGAGCTGGGTCCCCCTGCCCAGGCAGCTCTTACTGGCTGTGCAAGCAGTCAAAGGTGGCTGGGAGCTAAGGATCAACTGCAGCCCCGGGTACCAGCAGAAGCAGGACGCAGGGGAGCGCCATGGCTGCCCGCTCCATGGCACCAACCAGAGCAGCAGTTGCCCTGCACTGCCCAGCTCCAGCTTCCGGCCTCCGACCTGATCAAGGGGCAGGGCCTCGGAGAGGCTGGGGGAGAGAAGGATGGCGGGGAGGAGGCAGGGTGGAGCTGACCCTGTGTTCTACTCTGGGTAAGGCACTGCAGTTTGGGGGGGGGCAACACTCCCTGTGACCCTACAACTCCACCTAGGGGCTCAGGGCTTCTGCCCTACAGGGAGCATCAGGGAACCAGGGCTCCAGGATTCAGCCCCACAGCTCCCAGCTTCAGACCTGCTGGGGCATCGGGGCTCAGGGATTTAGCCCTGTGAGGGGCTCCAGGCTTCAGCCTTGGGGTCCCGCACACCCCTTAAATGGCTTGCGACCCCCACAGGGGACCAAGGACCCCCCCACTGAGAACTGTGAACTAGGTGATGCCCAGTCAATCAGGAGGGAGTTCTCATTCCTCCCTGATCAGCCAGTGATGTAATGGAAAGTTCAATGGTCACCCTTGCCCCATCCCAGAACAGTCACTAGAAAACCGTCAAAGACAACTGCAAAGAATCATAACCACTTGGAGGTAAAAAGGAACATTATAACAGACAGGGGATTGCACTGTCTGAATAAAAACAAAAGACTGACTGAGTATATCACAGGGGGAGAAAGACACTCTGCTTCCATTCATGGAAGAGGCATCTTATTGAGAGGAGGTGTTTCATGAAAGAGCGGATCCTGGTTCATGTGAAATCGAATAGGTCTGCAACAGACTGAACTTTGTGGGGGTGGGGGGAGAAATCTACTTTATTAGGTAGGAAAGGAAACTATTAATAAAGATAAGGTCTAGAACAGTGCTACTCAAAGTGGTGGTCCGTGGACCGGTGCCTGTCCGCGAGCCATCGGCTGCCAGTCTGTGCGCACAGTGGGGGAAAAAATTGCGGGTCCCCCACATCAGATAGCTTGAGAAGCACTGGTCTACAGGACCATGTTTTATTGTTTTGTTTTGTATTGTAACCATTTTCTTCTTTACTGTCTCTTATTTCTAAGGGAACCTCTACTTTTTCTTAAATTACCTTTCTTTTGTTTTAATTTAAGAGCTTATAGGTACTGTGCATTATACAGGAGTGGTGATTTGAGGTAAAATTGGTAAATTGGGGTATGCTGTTTCTTTGGGAGCAGAGGATCAGGGATTTCTGAGCCTAGCAAATGTCAGGGGCTGGATATCACAGGGAAACACTTCAAGGGGATTCAGGGCCTGAGATGCACCTCTTGTTAACCTGCAAGGCAAAAACAGCGCTGCCATAGCTTGGAGGAGAGTGCTTAAGTGGGTGACAAGCTGGTGGCGTTAAGAATCTAACACCCAGGTGCCAGAGACCAGGGTCCCTCTCACTAGAAGCAGGGAGTATCGCAGTGACTCACAGTCCTGGGTACCTCAAGAACCATCACAGGTGGGTAAATATTTTTATATCAATTTTACAGATAAGGAGATTGAAGAAAAGAAGTTACAACTTACCCAAGACTACTGAAGGTGTCAATGTCAGAAGCAGCATTAGAATGCAGGAGTTCCTACTATCTTACTCAGCCCATTTTGTGCCTCCCTCTGATTGGGTATAACAGTATGCACATCATGTCTCCATATAAATGTGATTCCAATGATTTTTGCACTAACTAGACAGAAGAGCACTCTTAGCCTGGATGTGTGCAAGTCAGAAACCAATTGAAACTGCTTGCTCAATGTGCTTTTAGGTTTTCTGTCAGAGTCCAGGTTTTTGGCAATACTACTGCATGAATTCAAACAAAATAACTTGGGATGAAGTTCTGTGCAAATGTCAAGAAAAACAGTTTTAATAAAACTATATCATTTGATTACACCTGTCACAGCCAGATATTTTGATCTGAAAAGAGTAAGTTGAAACTATCAGTGCATGCAAGCGAAAGCACTCTGTGTTATGGGAAAGCAATAATAATTATGCTCTACACATGGACCTTTGGGTGGCAGGGACCTTCCATCTGTTTTTATCCAGACTGAAAAGTACATTGATTATGAAGATCACTAGAAAAAGTCATCTAAATTCAACAGCAAACATTTTAGTCAGAGACAGTATGCTCCAGCTTCTTATGGTACAGCTGCCATGTTGAGTTTTTAGAAAGGAGGTCTGTATTTACCTCTGCAAGTCTGTGATCTGGAAATGTTTCATTTATACCTGCCTGTATTTCAGAATTAGCTCCTTTCTAATGATCGGTGCTTAAATTTGGGAGATGGTAATTTTAGATGGGGAACTGATCTCCAGTTGCATGCAGAAAAATGAGTTTTTCACATTTTTATTTTCATGCTAAAGAATGGGAATTTAACTTTATTCCTCAAAAAGAAAGGAGTACTTGTGGCACCTTAGAGACTAACAAATTTATTTGAGCATAAGCTTTCATGAGCTACAGCTCACTTCATCGGTTGCATGCAGTGGAAAATACAGTGGGGAGATTTTATATACTCAGAGAACATGAAACAATGGGTGTTACCATACACACTGTAATGAGAGTGATCAGGTAAGGTGAGCTATTACCAGCAGGAGAGAAAAAAAACCTTTTGTAGTGATAATCAAGGTGGGCCATTTCCAACAGTTGACAAGAACGTGTGAGGAACAGTGTGAGTGTGTGTGTGGGGGGGTGGGAAATAAACATGGAGAAATAGTTTTAATTTGTGTAATGACACATCCACTCCCAGTCTTTATTCAAGCCTAATGTAATGGTGTCCAGTTTGCAAATTAATTCCAATTCAGCAGTCTCTCACTGGAGTCTGTTTTTGAAGTTTTTTTTGTTGAAGAATTGCAACTTTTAGGTCTGTAATCGAGTGACCAGAGAGATTGAAGTCTTTTCCGAATGGTTTTTGAATGTTAGAATTCTTGACGTCGGATTTGTGTCCATTTATTCTTTTACATAGAGACTGTCCAGTTTGCCCAATGTACATGGCAGAGGGGCATTGCTGGCACATGATGGCATATATCACATTGGTAGATGTGCAGGTGAACGAGCCTCTGATAGTGTGGCTGATGTGATTAGGCCCTATGATGGTGTCCCCTGAATAGATATGTGGACACAGTTGGCAACGGGCTTTTTTGCAAGGATAGGTTCCTGGGTTAGTGGTTTTGTTGTGTGGTGTATGGTTGCCGGTGAGTATTTGCAAACTGGACACCATTACATTAGGCTTGAATAAAGACTGGGAGTGGATGTGTCATTACACAAAGTAAAACTATTTCTCCATGTTTATTCCCCCAACACACACACTGTTCCTCACACGTTCTTGTCAACTGCTGGAAATGGCCCAACTCAATCTCGTTACAGTGTGTATGGTAAGACCCATTGTTTCATGTTCTCTGTGTATATAAAATCTCCCCATTGTATTTTCCCCTGCATGCATCCAATGAAGTGAGCTGTAGCTCACGAAAGCTTATGCTCAAATAAATTTGTTAGTCTCTAAGGTGCCACAAGTACTCCTTTTCTTTTTGCGGATACAGACTAACACGGCTGCTACTCTGAAACTTTATTCCTGCTAACCATAGTTTTAGCTTGTGGTGATTGTCTAATGACTACTAAATCTAAAATAGTAACCAGACTCTGTTTCTCCTTTTACAGTAAAAGAAACATGAGCTGTGTTGATGCAAACAGCCAAAGGATTTGGGGAGCTTGTTGAAAAGGTAATACAATGCATTGCTGGTTGAATGTGTGTAGGGAAGAAACTGTAAACGCTAGTTTGGCTACACTGCTGTCCTGTAAGAATACGCTATGGTTACTATACAGTTAAGTGGACTCAGACATCTAAACGTGTAGCCTCTTAACATCTGCCATCCAAAATGACTTAATTGTTATGTTTTCTTCAATTAATTCAAAACTTCTCCTGGCTTTTTTAAAATTCCTTATGAGTGTGTGGGTCATTAAATTTAGTGGGTCAAAATACAGAGTGTTGTATATTTGTAAAACAGTAGTTAGAAAGTGATTCTCTGTTCTCCCCATGTCCCAATGAACATTTCAACAAAGCCAAATAACTAAATATCGGTTTCACTGTTAATGCACAATATTTAGTACATCTCTATTTAGACCTGTCTTGACACTGTTACCACATAGCTTTGTCTAAGGATCTGATTCTGTCCTCACTCTGGTGTAAATTGGGAGTAACTCCATTGAGGTCAATTGAACTACACTGGTGTAAGTGTGAGAAAAATCAGATTAGGTGTGAATGTGACATTGTCAAAATTTTCTTTTCCAATGAGCTTTTTTCCCTATAGCATAGCATTTTAAAATTGTCTGTTTTATACTCTCACTTTCTCCCCCTGTGACTGACCTGTCTTTTTATTAATTATTATTACTATTTATTTGTTTTATCATAGCACACTGTGAGCCCCAGCCATAAACCAGGGCTGCACTGTGCGAGGCACTGTTCAAACACAGAACAAAAAGACAGTCCCTACACCAGGGGTGAAAGTAAGTCGAGTGACTTACTGGTACTCTGGGGCCAGCTCTGGCCCCCAGAAGGGGTGGGGCCCAGGGCAGAAGGGGTGGGTTTGACGGGGTCAGAGCCAGCCCCAGCCCACCCTGTAAGATAAGTGCCCCCCCCCACCAGGGTAGCAGCAGCAGCCTGGGGCACCGGGGGCTATTTAAAGGGCCAGGGGCTCCCCTCTTCTACTGCCCTGGCCCTTTAAATAGCTGCCGGAGCCCTGTGGAAGCGGCAGGGCTCCAGCGGCTATTTAAAGGACAAGGGTGGCAGAGGCAGCTGGAGCCCTGGCCCTTTAAATAGCCCCTGGAGCCCCGGCTACCCCAGGGCTCCAGGGGCTATTTAAAGGGCCCGGGGCTCCACTGCTTCTACTGCCCCGGTCCTTTAAATAGCCGCCGGAGCCCTGGAGTAGCGGCGGCAGGGCTCCAGTGGCTATTTAAAGGGCCCAGGCGGTAGAAGAAGGGGAGCCCCAGGCCCTTTAAATAGCTGCGGGAGCCCTGCAGCTGCTACCCCAGGGCTCCAGCAGCGGGGCTCTGGAGGCAATTTAAAGGGCCTGGGGCTCCAGCCACTGCTGGGATCCCCAGGCCCTTTAAATTGCCTCCTGGGGAAGCCGGGCTGCCCCAGTATGGTGCACCGGCTCTTGCTGGTATGCCGTACCGGGGCGTACCAGCTTACTTTCACCTCTGTCCTACACCAAAGAGCTTACAATTTAAATAGATGAGACAGAGACAGGGTTGGGGAAGGGGATGAACACACAAGTAAAATGAACAATGTAATGGCAGCAAACATCATGTTTAGTTCCACTCTTTTTTCTTTCTTTAAGTGGGCTTAATTAGGAGGTGATAAGCTAAATGAAGGGAAAAAGAAAGGGAAGACGGTATATTGAAGGAAAGGTGGGTGAGGGGGATGAGACACATGTGGAGCAACCATGAAGTGAACAGATTGTGGGAGTGGGATGGATGGTTGGAGCAAACAGGCAGTCGATATGTTGCAGAGGAAATCCAATCAGAACTAGAGAAGGTTCTCCAAAAGTCTCCGCTTTGGCAGCTACTGTCCCTTCTGGCTGATTCGTCTTTGCAGCTTTCTCCCAAGCCCACGCAGTGGAGGAAGGGGAGGCAGGATGTGGGTCCTAGTGCCCCCACAGTGTGCTCAGTTCTGCCTGAGCACAATTCTGGATCCAGAATGGTACTGGGGGGAGGCGTGGCCTCATCAGGCCCCCATTTTCCACCCTTCACGCAGTACAGCTATCCCTGCTTTGGCTGCTTATGCTCCTACCTCCTGGCATCTCTGGGATGGCGCCATTTAGTCTGTGCATGTTATCTTGTGTCAAATATCTTCACTTTGAGAAGGTAGCTACAAAGATAAAAATAAGAGGAAACATAATCCAAAACACCCTGGGTGCATCGGCATCAGTGTTGCAAACATCTGCAATAGCACTTGTATATTCAGTAGCTGAATATTGTGGACTGGTATGGAGCAGATGTAGCCACATGCGACTTGTTGACACCCAGCTGAATACAGTGATGCGGTGCATCACTGGAACCCTTAAGTTGACTCCAACACCATGGCTACCTGTTCTGTCTAACATCACTCCCCTGCCAACACACCGAACTTCTGTGACACTCCACAAAGGTCAGTGAATCCAGGAAAACAGATGTCTTCTTATCCACCAAGACCTTGACAATGCCCTCCCCCAACATCTTAAATCCCGCAAGCCTTTCTGAGAACATTCGTTTACCTTCATGCAATCAGGCTACAATCAGAAGGAAGCTTGAAAAGCAGATTGGGCTAAACAAGACTTAAAAAATAAGCACCTTGTGCCATATCCCACGCAGAAAGTTCCTTGGTTCAACCTTCCACGTTCATCTTAGTAAACTATGAACTGAATCCAAACTAACCATGGTAGATGTGGACATCTAATGCACAAATGGAAAATCAAGGACTCCCCAGAGTGCAAGTGTGGCTCCCCACAACAGACCATTTAAATATCACTACCTACTGCCCAATTTGTAAATATGAAGGAGGCATTACTCCAATAAATTCTGCTACTCCTGATGTAGCCATTTGGCTCAATCAACTTCAGGTGAAATTGTTGCTGCTCTACATCAGCCATACAAAAGAAGAAGAAGACCTCCAGGTGGAGGCACAGCATAAGATACCCTTAAAACACAGGTACTCTTATGCCCTGGTTTGGCTACTCTGCAGAGTGGAGTGTGATTTGAACAAGTTCCAGACAAAATGAAGAAAGCACATAGAGCATTGTCTTCCATATTGGTGAAAAAAAAAGTGCACACGAGAGCCTTTTCTAAGTGGCAGTGTTTAACTGAGGATCTTTCTTGGTATTTATAAGGCCCAAAAGCACTGTGTATGTAGACACTAAGTAAACCTCCCTATTGAAATACAGATGGGGAGAGGGAAGTTAAAGCAGCACAGCTGAGGCTGTATAGATCACTTCCCTTCTTCCAGGGTATGGTCTGGTCACTGGGAGCCTGCATCTGCAGCTCTTCACACTGGTTAGTAATTGTGACGCTACACCGCATATTCTTCATAGAGATATTGTTATAATATGATTATAGCATAACTATGCTATGTTTTGTGCAAGATAAGGCATGTGAGGTATCATTAGAAAGGTTATAATTTGCTGAATATGATTATCCTATTTGTATGCCTGTATCATTTCTGTATCTGAAGTTAGGAATATTGACTGTGTATCAATTACAAGTGGGTTTACACCTGGGGAACGCCCACCTTCCTGAGAAGTTTCCTGGGATGCTACAAACAATCTTTGACTCATGGTTGCTTTGACACTGCAGGGTCATGTAATCATGTCACCTGGTACTGGACTACATGACAGAATACCAGTATTTTGCCATTGGGGGGAGAGGGTCTGGAAACCACACTGAAAAGCAAAGGGTTCCCGCCATATGTAAAACCTATTTAAGACTGGGGAGTGACTTTATCAGGGTCTTTCTTCACTGAATCCCCACCCAGGATTACTTCTGGAAACATCTAAGAAACAAAGACAAAAGAGGGGAGAGAAGAGCTGAGTCCAGGCTGGAAAAGGTATCTGGCCTGTGAAGGAAATGCCTAAAACAACATTTAGGGTGAGAAATTACTACTTGTAACCAGTTTCTTTAGTGTGGTAAGTTTAGCTCATGTGTTTGTTTTATTTGCTCAGTAATCTGCTTTGATCTGTTTACTATCCCTTATAATCACTTAAAATCTATCTTGTGTAGTTTATAAATTTGTTTTTCTTTTCTAAAACCACTATGTGGAATTCATAACGGGGAGGGGGGGGGCAAAAAGCTGTGCATATCTTCCTCCACATTAAGGGAGGGTGTGAATTTCATGCGCTTATGCTGTACAGCTCTCTGTGCAGCGCAAGATAATACGATTTTGGGTTTGCACCCCAGAGGGGGGTGTGCATTTGAGTGCTGGGCAATTCCCGAGCTGAGTCTTCCCATGCAGAGCTGATGTCTTTCTGCAGCTGGGTGTGTCTCCACCTATGTGTGTGCTGGAGGAGGCTTGAGGGCCTGGCTCAGCAGGACAGTGTAAGGGAGCCCAGGCTGCTGGAATAGGTGGGCTCAGTGGTACCCCAGTACATCAGGTGGCACCCCAGAGTGGGGTGGGGGTAGGGGTAACTCATCACAATAATTACCTGAGCAGTCCTGTTGGCTTAAATGGGATGGCTTTTGTGAGAAAGGATTACACAATGAGATCCTGAGTGGGATGAAGGGGAACTCTGGAATACCAATTGGCTGCAGCTTCTTTTGTTGAAGAGGGAAGAAGAGCAAATAACATTCTTGTGATCTGTTGACATGTTTAACAATTTAGTCTTACAGCAGCTTTGTATATATTCTTTTTCTCCTATTTTTCCTGAGCACTGTGCATTATTTTTCCCACACTCCTGTTTTTCTGTGGTCTCATGTATTATTAAATACATTTATTTTTGACTTTATAGCAAAATATATTAACTTAATTTCCTTGACCTACAACATCATTGCAGGGCAACTGTGCATCAGGTGGAAAGATTCTTTTTCTTGCGTTGGGTTCATAGGCACCAACTCTGTGGGTGTTCCAGGGCTGGAGCACCCACGGGGAAAAAAATAGTGGGTGCTCAGCATTCACTCACAGCCCTACCGATCAGCTCCTCCCCCTCCCTCCCAGCACCTCCTGCCCACCAGTGATCAGCTGGTCAGCAGCATG